ATATTTTATTGGACAAGGGATGTAAATGTGATGGGGACCAAAGCACTCATACACATCAAAATAACTGCATATTAAACTGATGAATTTATCACATCTCTGTCAGTGCAGAGACTGCTCCTGGGGGCGTAGGCTCTCAGCAATAAGAACTCATGTTTGCACAGCTTGATAATTGCTGTCTAGTCTGCACTTTCAGTTTACAGCAAGGACAATTCCATCTTTAACTTCCAGCAGAAGGATTTTCAACCAAAATACTTTTAGCTCAGTGGTGCGGTGGAAAAACTGATCTGTTCTCATCTTCTTTCACCTGAAAAGCCAACAAAATCAAAAGGAATTTAGGGCATTCTACCGTGCCAGCAATAACTAATAAACAAAACTGATAGCTAAACCACTCAGATGTAATGCTTACCTAGAATTAATGGCATTTTCCACACAAAAGGAGAGTTGACAGTGGAACACAGTTTTGCTGTCGTTCCTTGGATCACAACAGAAAGACCTGGCCAATTCAGGTTTTTAAGCACTGCTTTTATACTTTTGCTTTTAATACACAAAACAACGCAGTGCTCCTCCAGCCTTTAACAACCTGCTTTCTACCTTTAACTGACCCAAAAGGTTTTCTGCCGGAATTCTTTCTTCCTCGACTTCACACTCAGCAGGGAGCTCACCTACCCTCTAACTTCCAACATAAGGAAGCCCTAGGCTCCAGGCACCTCAAAGCCTGACTGCTGTACCTTGTAACGGCTGGTGATGCACTGAGCTCTGCAGCTCCAGCTGAACGTGGAGGGACAGAGCAGCAGTTTGTCCCAGGCCACACAGAGAGCTTTGGCAACGCACAGAGCTCAACCTGTTTCCCAAGTCTCAGCACAGCACTCACCATTGAACCACCTTTCTTCTACATAAAATACCTAAACTATTCAGATTTTCAAGGCAAAGGCATATGTTCAAACCTGAAAACTGTTTAAACTGTTAAATGCCACAAACGTCTACCAGACCTGCAACTCCCTACTCACGCAGATAACATCTGTTAAAAGTAAGTGGCTCATACAGTTCTGCCCCAGAAAGCTTAATAAGTTCCTTCTCCAAGATTAAAGTAACACCTACACATTCTAGATGCTTCTGCAAGTCCCTGGAGGGAGAAAACGCTGCTCAGTGCTGAGACAATGAACCAAGCTTCCTTCCTCAGCAGCACAAAACCCTGCTGCTTTACCTAGCACTAACAGGAAGGTGTTATTTATAAAATTGAGCCATACACTAATACATCTCTAAGTGTTTCAAAATTAGACTACAGCATATCAGACAATGACCTTTGACTTACAGATGTACAAAGTCCTAGTCTCAGAGAGCAGCATAGAACTCTTTTTTTCTAAATAGTTCAGCCTTATCTCTACTATCAGTCGTTTTGTACATTAACACGTATTACTTCAAAACCCAAACTGAAACAAGTACTTGTTTCTCTAACCTCTTCAGCATGCTTTTTTTTTTTTTTTAAAGAGAATGCACATTATTGTTATGTCAGGTGAGCTCACTGGGATTCTGACGTTCCTGTTTCTTACGCAGTTCTATAAAGCACTGTGAGCAGTACGTCCCACCACGTCTCGCTGCATTTAGACTCAATGAAACCAAAGAACAGACAGTTTTATCTCTTGTTCTGAACTACTTACTCCACTTTGTAAAAACGTTCTGTGCTAAATCCAGTTACCTAAATTCACCTACTTTGGCACTGAAACAAATGACTGCCCTCTACTTTCACGCAGCCGTACAAAGGCTTACTCAGCTCAGCTCCGAACCCCCGCAAGCATTTTCAGAGAACACTTTCTGTTGCTCCTGACTATCAGGAGAAAACAACTGTTGTGAAGAAGGATGCTTTCTCTTCTATCACAAGCCATTGTTCAGACTAGCAGTGACATACAGCTGGCTACAATGGAGCACATACCACCACAGGCTAGGGAACTTCACACTTCAGACTCGCTCTCACTTTCCAGTGCTCCAGGCTCGCTGCATTTTGAAGTGACTCCATTTACTGTGATAGGTGTCAGCTCAAATAACCAGGGCCATTTAGTAATAAAGACACTGATGGAATTCTAAATCTACTAAAATAGATTAAGAATTTTGCAGGCCTGGCATTTTGGACTCTGTCCAATCCTGCGCTGGAGGCCGTACTGCAGGCACAGATCAGGTCACATTTTAGTAATGTCCTAAAGCTTTTTTCTAATCTGTTACAGTCAATGAAAATGGACTTTTGCACTTCCTCCCTTCTGCATTAACCCTCTGACATACAGTCAGCCTTTATTACTCCTGCTGATAGAACTTAGTTGTCTTCTGAAACAAGCCACAGCTATTTGGAAAAGTCAAGGCCTTTTCTCACATTCAGGTTTTTTCCCTGCATGTACACATCTCTGCACGCCATGGCACACATCTTCTCTCTATCATTCAGTCACTGCTCCTAAGAAAGGACAACTACAGGGGAGAGGTGACAGGGAAAAAAAAACATTAAGGTGCTTCCTATTTCCCGTACACACTACTTCTTTTGTCCTCCCTCAAGTTTATATGTAAGCATCTCTTCTTCCAAAACACTTTAATGCTGCAATATACCCTGTTAGTCACCTACCACACATCCTTCTCCTGATTTCCATCTTTGAAATGCACACAATGGAAGCTTGTGCCAGCTGCAGTTATGTAACACAGAAATAGCTTAAGAAAACAGATTTCATCTGTACATTTTACTAACTCAGAACTGATTTTTCCTACAGTAACAAAATAGCAGCGCTGAGTAACTGCAGACACCAGATTCATGACAAGTTTGACTTTTTTTTTATGTTAAGCTGTCTCTGGCAGCCCAGTACTCAGTGATATCATGCCAAGTATTAACTGTTAGAATGCACAGAACCCAATATAAACTCTTGAATTAATACTTTATGCCGTATCAGGGCTTATTTACCACTGAATTACAAGGCTGACAATCCCTCTAAGCGAGACTCCAGCCCACCCCCTAATGCTTACGGATGTGACAAACAGGAAAGCAGAACTTCCACGCTTCTCTGCTTTAGGAACCTGACAGTGTCATGCACATTGTTACTTGTGTGAATTGATCAACATGTAAAAATAATAACCAGAAGTGGGAGACAAAACTGCAGGAACCTAAAAGGCAAATCCACTGCTCCAAACCCACTGTTAACGCTTTCTAGAATGATTTCCTCTCAATGTATCCAGCATGGTACATCATAAGAAGCAATGACTAAGCTCAGAGGAAGAATTCTTTCCATAGGTGATCACACTCCTGCATGTACCTGAAAGATTCACCGTAACTCAGTTGTGAAATAAACTGACACAAGCCTTCATTGTATTTCATAACTCTTTTTACACCAAAAGAATAAAAAAAATCCTTAAAAATTTCAGTCTGGTTAAGTTTGTTAAGACAGCCAGAAGGAGTACCTTGTTGTACAGCATCCAGCCACAGACATCCCCCACAGCTCTATCATGGTAAAGACTGGGTTTGTGCTGTATCACAATGAACATGGTCAAAGTGTAGAAAAAGGAAGTGGATAAAGAGAAAAAAATAAAAAAAGACAAAAAACCCTTCTGGACTCAACAATGCAAAGCTATTCTAACACCTCACAGAGGCAAACTGTGATCAAATACGGTTCTGTTTTCCAGTGTCACATATGGGATTGGGTGAAGGGGAAGAGAACAGGACGTGCACCTTTGCAGATACAATGGCCCCTTCGTAGTGAAGTAAAGCAATGTGTCAGAAGGCAACAAAAAGCTTACAGCATCCAGAAGTCTGGATTCCACGCACATCTTTGTATATATACATAAATGGCTGGTAACCTCTGTAAAAGCACGCCTTTGCATGGTGAAGCACAAAGAAATGCAGGTCTTAACAACTGAAGAAAAAACACCAGTCCCATTCTCAGCTTCACTCAGTCAAATGAGAGCACTTTCTACCTAACGATCAGCCTAATAAGTTGTGTAACTGAACTTTTCCCCACTTGACTATTAAGTGTTCTGTCAGAGCATTTTTAATCTCCCCCAACGAACCATGAGAATTAAGACAGAAGACTTTTCAAAAACAGGCCTCAAAATAACAGCCTGCTCCTCAGAGACAAAACGCTGCTCTCTTGAAGTCACTTGGCAAATATTTTATGCAGTAATACAACACCTTTTGTGCAGGTTATGCGTTAATTACTCCCAAGGCATCTGCAGAATTTAAGTCTTAAATTCATAACACTCCAAACGCACATTTGGAATGATACCTGTGCTACAGAGTTTAACACACATTTAAAGGCAAGCTGTCCACTCAGAAACCGTCTGCATTGAGAAACAAGCAGCACAGGTGGCTGAGCAGCACGCTGCTAACCTGCAGCTCCCTCCAACAGCCGGTTTGCAGCCACAGCAGCGCTCAGGATGAAGGCTGGGGGCTGCCACAGCCACCACAGCTCCGCACATCACAGTGGCCCACGCCCAGCACTGCAGGCTGTGCCCTGGTAACACCTGAGAATACAGAAGGGAATGATAACAAATAATAATAATAATAATAATAATCAGCACCAGCACTGTAGGCTGTGCCCTGGTAACACCTGAGAAGACAGAAGGGAGAAGTAAATAATAATCATCATCATCATCATCAAAAAATAAAATAAAACGCGGGTCATGAGATCATCCTCTTAGCGCTGGGGATGTGACTGAGCCCTGAACGCCCAGCGGGGCGATGGTGCCATCGCCTTTTGTACCTTTCGTACAGCTCCCTCGAGGTGAAGCGCCCGCAGACCCTCACACCAAAGCCAAGATTTCGTCAGAAAGTTTTTTTTTTTTAAAAAAATGACATTCGAAAAAAAATAACCATAAAAGAAGGAGAAGGGAGAAGCCCGAGGCGACCAGACGGAGCGCTGCGCGAAAGCGGAGGGCAGCGCCTGCCCCGCACGGCAGGAAGAACGCCGCCGCCGCCGCGCCCTCGGGCCTCGGGCGGCCCCACGTCGGCCCTCCGCCCGGCCCCGAGCACTTACTGGAGGCCGGCGCAGTCCGGGAGCTCCGTGAGGAGCCGGGCCGCGCGCGGGTCCCGTTCGCCTCCTCCTGCCGCGCTCCCGGCACGTCACGACGGCAGCGGCTCGAACTCGCTCTTCCCTTCCCCTCCCCTCCGCTTCCCGCCCCGCTCAGGAAACTCAGCCGCCCGCCCCCCCCGCCGCTGTGCGCGGCGACGCCGCCGAGGTCCCCGCCCTGCTGTGCGCATGCGCCGCAGGTCAGCCTCCATAGGCGCAGCGACGCCGCCGAGCATCCTGGGATATGTAGTGCGCGGGCAGCGCTTGGCGGGAGTTGTAGTCCCCGCCTGAGGGGGAGGTGGGCCGCAGGCAGGCGGGGTGCCGGGCGTGTCATTAAATCAAACACGGTGGTCTCCTACACACACACACACAAAAAAAAAGTACAGTCAAAAAGGGGAAGGATATGTACAATAATTATGTACAATAATTATGCACAATAATTATGCACAATAAATATGACAATACAGAAGGTGACGCGCTGCTTGTGCCTCATGCCAGCAGCACCATTTGAGCAGAGCCGCACACTGCCCACGTTCATTGCAAGGGAGTTGGACTGGGTGACCTTTAAAAGTCCCTTCCAACTCAAACGATTCTACGATTGCTGCCATGTGACAGAGTTTTCAGCAGTGGTTACAAAACGTGAGCAATGACGCTGCAGCCATTTTGTCCCTGGGGAACTGAGGCAGGCAGTGTGCAAGTCATCGCGGTGTGGAATGCAGTGGTGGTGGCACAACCTGTCTCACGGAGAACTGTGCTACCGACTGCACTCTGCCTTGGAAAGAATTCATTGTTTGGGCACATGAAGATTCCTCTGCTGCACTTTTCCTCTTGGTTCAGGTGCTGCCTCAAAGCCTTTTGAAGCCATAAGGCACAATGGTCCGAGTGGCACATAACAATTTCCAGTAGCAATATTTAGCCAATTAGAATGGGAATATTCCTATTTTAAGCACATACTAAACTTGTTCTAAAATTTTTGGTTGCTTTCCAAAATAGTAATAGGAGATTTTTTATTTTTTTTCCTAGCTCAAAGCAGTGATATCTCCAAAAAACAGAATTCATTTGAACTCAGTTCTTGCATGTAAATGCATCTTTGTTTCAAGCTGGCATTTAACAACTGTACTTTTTACAGTCAAAGAAAAGCTGTAATCAGAGTACAACAATAAAAGCTGAAGTCAGCTACAAACAATGCTTTACAATTCCCTTGGCAACTTCTTCCTATCAAATCCTTGATAGGTCACATACTCTGTGGCTGCACAAGCCAAAAGCTTTTCAATCTGTACTCCATTCACAGTCATTCAAACATTTTTTGATGATTTTCACATACCAGTACTTTACTACAGTTAATGTAAGATAATTGACAGTAGCCAGCACAATGCAGTCCTTCCCCTGCTTCGGTCCCGATTTGTCATTTCTGGTGCTGACAGAATGATTGCAAGCGTGGCAGTTCCCCACAGGGCTCCAGGTTGTGGCCTGACGTTGCACTGTGAGTGGAAGAGCCCTTTGTCAATATGAAGTGCTATTTCTATAACCAAAACCTGAGCAGTCAAAAGCCATATCATAACACACATGCAGAAGGTGAGGAGAAAGTAGTAAGGTGAGGAGAAAATCGTGTAAATAAAGAAATATCTGCCTGTAAGTTGAGATACAAACTTTTAGAAATAGCCACATGCCCTCTGGTAGTGACACAGCTCACAGAACTTTTGGAATACGCAAGTGGAGAAGCAAGAGATGAAGAGCTCATCCACTGATCAGTGTGAGATGGAAAAGACAATTGCCACTTACACCCATCCCTCTATATCCAGAGTGTCTCCATCTCATATGTGTTAAAACCTGGATGTAGTCACCTCGAATTCCTCTCTTATAGGGAAAACTTCCTTTTGGTAGAAGGTTGCTGATGGCTTCAGTGTTATAATATCATACAGGACATTGCTGCTACATAGGCAAGTTAAAGCACTTATCAACACAGGCAATTCAGTACTCTTAATCTTTTCTATTAAGTGTGCCAGTGTAACAACTGAGAGAAATTGTAGTGTCAACGAGGTAAACTTCAGGTATGAAGTGATTAGGTCCCTTAGTTATTTCCTTCAGATATTTTCCCATTCTCCTGCAACAAAGTACACGTGCAAAGATTACAAAAGACAGAATCTGTTTTTACCTACCCTGCAATTTCTTTAGATTGTCAAGAATGAAGTCGGCACTGGCTTACCACCTATGCAATGCCATTGACTTCCATTTAGAAGTTGGCTCAGAGCCTGGTATAATCCAGCAGAATTGTAAAGCAGACTTTTATTCCCTCTCCAGTTGTCTCTATTCATACTTTTCAAATCTGGCAGGTATTCTTATAACAGTCTTCAGGCCTGTGGAAAAAAAAAAGTGACCCTTTTGAACTCATCTCTTACTCAGAAGTTGCTTGCGATTCTCGTCATTGTAATGTAATACATTTTGGATTTAGATTCCTGTTGGAATTCCAGTTACTCAAAATACCATGCATAATAAATTGTTTGTTTGGTGACATATGGGATTATGCGCCTAAGAACAAGGAATGATAGAAAAAGAACTAAATGTCCTGTTGTTTCCTACCCTCGCCATTTTCACTGGTTACTTTATTCCAAATGTAGCTTTGCCGTGCTCTGTTCCTGTCTTTCTGAGCGGAGTATTATTTTCTGGAACCCCGTCTTCATCCTTTCTCTTGGAAGGAGATTTACCAGGAAACAGCAGGTAAAGGGCTTCTGCTTGTTGTTTTTTTTTTCTCTTTTAAATAATTACATTTCCTTATGGCAGCCCACCATTATCATGTGACTACACCTGACTTGTGGGCTTTTAGTCTTGACTCAGAAGGCATGTTATCTCTGTCACCTCTGCTCTTTGGCAAAGGCTCACTTTGAAGAGCCGTAAAACAAGAGCTGTTATCTAGTGCATAGCAAATAGATTCAAACACTGCACTTGGATGAAGAAATCTCATTCAGTTCAGGCATGTGTGTTCTCACAGTCATCAAAATAGTAAAGCTGAGCTAAATACTCCTTTCCACTTTTACTTCAGGGCAGTTTTTACAAGACAAAAGGAATTACAGCTTTCACTGAAGGTTTGCTGGAACATCTCATTCTGATCCTGCAGTGCTGTGCCATTCAGTTCAAGTCAGGTTGAGCATGACTTATAAATGAGATCAGAGGCAGAGAGAATGAGAGAATCCTCATGCATGTTCCTTCCTGCTGGTACCAGGCAGAGCCATTAAAACTCCATGTTCACCCAAGTGAGCCCCAACCCCTGCCATTGCCATTGGAGAGCTCTATAAATTCTGAAGTTAAATAAAAAAGAACCTGCTCTCAAAACAGTAAAGTAACGTTTAGGGGGCCCACTGTTCTTTATAGTACTTGCGTTTAAAAAATTAAGGAACTATTTTATTTAATTAATTTTGTACTTTTTTTTTTTTTTAAATTTAATTTACACAAGTTCCCCATGTAATAATTTTACTATATTGTCGTTCATGTAGTCAATTACAATGCATGGTGCTATTCTTTGAAGTATTTTTTCATAAGGCAGGAAACTCCCAGTGGAAAATGGATCTATAACAGTAAAATCAGAAAGAATAATAGGCGTATATACAAGATATAAATGCATATATACAAGTATAAATAACACATGTATATCCTCTACGTAGAAGTGGACATTGCGTTCCGGTGAAGAAGCAGAAAGAAATATCCAGTGATTCCAAAATATCACAGTTCTTAACTTTCCTAATTGTGTTTTCATGATGGATAATTTTATCCAGCAGAGGAAGTTCAGCAACTTTATATACGCATGGAAATAAAGAGCTGTGAACAGAACCTCACTTCATTGCTATGAAGAAATTATTCTGCCTTAGACAAAACGTTTTTGTTAAAACTAACAGTTATGTTACAGTGGAAAACAGGAAAAAGCCTGGCCAGCGAATTGCTAAGTGTGCAGCAAAATGCTCTCACTATATTCCTTTTCTGTGGGTTCAATATTGCAAATTCCATCCGCAGGCAGTGGGTCTCCTGTGCACTATTTTAAGAGGGGTGTTACTGGAATCAATGGGACTCCTCTTTTTAGAGGTTATGACCAGGAAGCTGTCATGCTGCTGATACCTTCACCTTCCACCCAACCACCTGCATATTGGCAACCAAGGGAAGCTTTCCTGCTGTTAAATGTTACTATAAAGGAGGAATTCTGAGTTTTCTGCAGTGGCGTGGGATTGATTCGGTAATTACGTTATTTGCCATAATGTAGAGAGCCTTGTAGAGTTCTCTGAGGTTCTTGTCAGCATGACCTGGGCAAAATCCACCCTTTGCATTTGGGGTTTACTCACAGCTGTGACTTCAAACACGTGAGCAAGGCCATCCAACAAACAAGGTGCTTCTCCACCTCGGAGCACACTGCTGCTCATCTCCAGTCACGGTAGTTTCTGAAACTGGAGAACATAACAACCAAGATCCCCAGTCCCTTGCTAGCTAACAGATGGTGAAAGGAAAATGCCCTCTTGATTGCCGCCGGCAATTAGCTAAAGCTGTGAAGCACAGGATTTGCCATAATCCTTGCCTTGCAGCAAGACTGTGTGTGATTAGCGCCTTGAGGGGAGTGCAGACAAAGCCCTTCCCTCCTGAAGCCAGAGAAGGAGCAGAAAGCATTCAAATCCCTGCACATATAAGTACAGGCTTTAATTCAGAGGCTCCTTCAAAGCATAGATAATCGGCATTTTAAAGCCTCTAATGTGAGAACTAAAATTTCACCTCTTCTGATAAAATTACATAGACAGAGCTTGGAAATTATATCTCACATAGAGTTTGGATTCATTCATCCAGTCACTCGATGGTGCTGGAACTTGGTGCTGCTATAACCACAGTATGAGAACTGGCACACAGCAATGCAGCGAGTTCTCAGGCTTCTGAGTGGAGAGCTCCATTTCCTGAAAGTCACATTCAAAGCACTGTGGTCTTATTAGCACTGGAAGCTTCGTATGCTTATTTTGCAATTATTTCACTCCTTTGTATGTCCATAGCTTTGTACTAAAAGTGATGTGATGATAGTTCAGTTTC